TTCTGAGGGAACGACTTCCAAATATATGTAGATTTAAAAAAAGGAATGTCAACATTTCTAAAATATGTCCTATAAGGCACTAGTTCTGAGGAGAAGCAATAGGTATCACAGAGAAAAAGTATCCCCACTTAAAGTTTGCCAGGTCACACAAAGTTTAGCAGCAGAAACCTTTATTGCTGCTGTTGTAGGTCATGGGTGTGGAGGTCAAAGGGCAACTCTATGGTGTGCATTTTCTCCTTCTACCTTTACGTGGAATCAACCTCAGGCTGTGAAGCTTTAAGACAAGCTCTTTTTACCTGCTGAGCCATCTCACACTTGAGTCTCTACCGTACCCATGGTGCGGCTTTCCCTGGAGCATCCAACCATGCTTAGACATCACCTGTGCAGATTGTGACTAATACCTGAAAGTCTAATCCAGAAGTCAGAGATGGCTCCAATGACTCAAGCCATAGCATACAGTCAAAACTGAGGCAAAGCGCTTAGAACTCAAGGGTTGGGCGCAGGGCTGGGGATAGCCATGAGACTACATAGTAGGTTTCTCCAATGAACCTAGAAAAGTGAAGACTTTAGGGGTAGGAATAATTTGAACTAGCTGGAAAAGTGTCTGCCTATAAAAAGACAATATAACACATGCAGATATGACATGTAGAAAGTATGATCTATATAGAACTTCCCAATTTTTCCAAGACAGTTCTTCCAATGACAAACCTGTGGTCATTAGCCTCATGGAGAATGTAAAGAATGCTTACATGTCTGCCAACTTTTGACATGTGGCACAACATAGTCATCTAAAAAGTTCATACTTAAGAACCATGGAATAAATTACTAAAGAAAAAAGATCTTCCCCCCTTTCCATAACCTGGAGTACGTTTATGATTAAGTATGTTTATGATTTTGTGTTTGGGTTGCATTCTAGCTATCCTGAATCACATGTGGCTCGTGGCTGGACATGTTTGCTGGGCCATTTCACATGATAAAAAACAAACACATCAAACAGAAGGCTTCTTAATTTCAGAGCACTCCATGAGCCTCCTGGAACCCAACCACAGAGCTCCACTTGCCAGTCTTGCAGTTTCTAAGTAATGCTGGTGCAGATGCTTCACGGCTGATAAACTCTGTGCAGAGTTATGTGGCACTTAAAAGATAAGATAATTTCTCTTTTTAAAGGTGTATCTTCAAGTAGTCTCCAACAGTGCAGAACAAATGCACAATTGCACAGGCCCAAGAAAAAAAAAGAACGGAACTTATTCTGGGGTAAAACTCAAGTCGTTCACGTAGCACCCAAAACCTACAAGGACCTACAATGGTAAGAAGAGCCTTCCACAAATTAATCCTGAGATGCTAAGTGCATTTTCCAGGCTGCACAGCTGCTGGATCCTAGATCCTAGCACCCCTGTTCAGCTGTCTGTGACCAAGCTACAAATACAGTAACTGTGTTACTGCAGTGGGTGGGAGGTTTTCAAAACAAAAACCCCTCCAAACATCAACCTCCCAAGAATTACTGTGATTACTCTAACTTATTTACTTAACAGAAACATCCCGTTCTTAGCACCTACTTGCTGAGAGCTTGAAGAGTAAAGCTCATACACCAGCTTCGGGAAGCGAGACTCACTTCTCCCCAACTATCAGCAGCACGTGTGTCAGAAACATCTAACAGCAAAACCAATGTGGAAAATGTGTATCTTCACCGCATGACTTGGTTGTAGGCAAGAAGGAAGTCTGAGCTTTGGGCTGCTTAGCAGGCTGGAGGTATGGGTCTCTGGCAGGTGGGAATCAAACACCTATGATCTGATGTTCACTGGCAGGCCACGAAAGCAAGTGAGGCCTGGCTGCCTATCAGAAGTGGGGAGTTACCAAAAGAGCCACACGAACCTCAGAGTGTGGGGACAATCCAAATGTTGAAGGCAGAGCATGCCTCTGTCTCTTCCCTGGAAATTCAGTACAGCATAATCTGTCCACGTTTACAGAGACGGTGCCTCCCACTGATGGAGAACCCAGACTCCAAACCAGTCAGCTTTTACCTCTGCCACCTACCAACTGCACAGTTATTTAAACCTCCCTATGTCTGCTTCTTCAGTTGTGTCTACCTCACAAGACTGGAAGGAAACTCTCAGCAAATGCCTGCCAGATGATAAGCACTCCAGAAATGTTAGCTAGCATCAATCATTAATGGCTGACAGGATTAATCACTCTGTTGTATTTCGATTACATTCAGATGTCCTTAGAAAAATTACAGGTCGGTTACTACACCTATATTTCGTGTGTTTGCTTTGGGACAGTCTTATTCTGTAACCTATACTCACATATATGCCAGGCTGGCCCTGAACTGGTGGCCAGCATTCTCCTGCCTCAGCTTCCCAAGAGCTGAGATTACAGACATGTGCTACCAAATTGACTTCTTCATTTTGTTTTGTTTTTAAAGATTTATTTATTTTATGTATATGAGTGTTCTATCTGCATTTACATCCACCAGAAGAGGGAATCAGTTCACATTATAGATGGTTGTGAGTCACCATGTAGTCGCCAGGAATTGAACTCATGACCTTCGGAAAAGCACACAGTGCTCTTAACTGCTGAGCCATCTCTCCAGCCCCGTTGGGTTGTTTTTAAATATAGTAAATGCATGGCTAATTATTCCTATCAAGGATCTACCAGTATTTACCAATAACCTGGGCACAAAACCATCCTTTGCTACATAACAATTTCAAAGTCAGTCAAAACACCCACACACGCACACATACACACTTGCCAAAACTTACTGTATACGTTGCCACTTAAGAGATATAAAATTAAACTTTTCAACTACTATAATTGGACTCCTCCAGACAGTTATTAGCTCCTTGGATTTGAATACATTTCTACCATTATTCCTACCAGGACTAACCCCAACAGCCTAGGAAAGAGAAGTGCCCCTTCCCTTCAATACACCCTCAATACACCCTGGACATCAGGACAAAGAGAACTTTTTGAAGTCTAAACATTTACTTTCTTATGTGTGTGCACGAGGGTGCACGGGTGAGTGTGTGTGTGTGAGTGAGTGTGTGTGTGTGTGTGTGTGTGTGTGTGTGTGTGTGCGCACTTGTGGAGGCCAGAGAGCAGCTCTGGAGTTGGTGTTCTTGTTATGCTTTTGGTGTGTTCTAACTCAAGCAAGCCTGGGCTTCTGCCCAGAAGTTCAAAACTAAATTGGACACAGTTATGCATGTCTACATGTCTACCATTCAGGGGGCATAAGTGGAGGATTATGAGTCTCAGGCCAGCATGGGATACATAGCAAGATCTTGTATATTGAAAATAAAAGAAAAAGAAAGAAACGAAAGGGGCCTGGAAAGACAGCTCAGCAGTTCAGAGCGAGCTCTTCTCCCAGGCCTGACATTTGTTCCCAGCACCCATGCCAGGTGGTTCACAATTGCCTGCAACTTCAGCTCCAAGAGATTATTAGATGTGCTCTTCTGGCCTTCATGGACACCTTTGTGTGAACATCCAAGCACCCAACACCTTTTAAGAAAGAAAGGACAAACCCATAACTAATTTCTCTCCCCTTGCATGACTCCTGTAAGTCCCATATCTAAAAGGTCAACAGGAACCAGGGACCACAGCCACCCTCTTGTGGCTGCTCACAATCCTCTCCGTGGCTGTCCTCTGAATCATGCTCCCCTATGTGGCATCGCCCCATCCCTCCACAAGCCTGAGCAACGCCAGGTTGTGGCCAGAAGCTGAGAGACTGAAGCACGACCAATCAGGTCGGCCTGTTCTGTGCCGGCAGCCCTCCCCATCCTCTCTGCAGCACAAAATACAACGGTAATAAAATGACTGCTATTTAATGTTGTTCTTCTCTCCCCCCCCCCCAAAAAAAATTGACTTCAAATAAATCTGGTCCATTCTCACCTTTAGTTGTCAGAGCTCAAGTTCACCAACACACGCCTGCTAAGTTATACGTTACAGTTATGCTCAGTACACCTTTGTCAACAGAGGAAAATGGTGTGATATGTGAAAGAGACAAGCATCTCACTCACAAAAGAGCTGCGGCACCGTACTGCTACCTCACTTTACGCGGTCCACTGATGCAAGAGTAAAAACCCATTGATTTAGCAAGCGTTTAAAAAGAAGAAAAGACTAAACTTTCCAACGCAATACTAAGTTTCTCTAGGCATCCTCAGGTGTTCTGTGAAACAGGAGTCCAACTTCAGTTACCAAGTAAGTAGATACGCGACTAAATCAAGGCTGCTGCCACATTTGGCAGCATCCACCTCCCTTCCTGGCAGACTCCGCGAGGCCAAGAGTTGAGCTGGCCTGGGAAGAATGATTTATCTTCCCACATTTAGAAGTGGTCCCTTTGCAACAGAGACACTGTGCTGCTAATGAGCTTTGAATTCTAACCCTGTCAAACCAGTACCCTTCCTAAATACTCCAGTCACAAAAAAAAAAAAAAAAAAAAAAAAAAAAAGAAAAGGAAAATCTGATTCCTGTGAGTCACAGACAAAAACAAACACCACTGTCCAGTTCTTTTTGGAAGAAAAAAACAAAACAAAGTTGCTTTCTTGCCTCCCCAAACAAAGTGACAGCTTGGGAAATTACAAGGACCTGACAGGCAGATGTTAAGAGGCTAAAGGCTAAGGCACAAGCAGATGTTAAGAGGCTAAAGGCTACTGCTGTCGATGGAGGCTGCCCAGCGTCAGAGCAGAACCAGCAGGCCCGGGCGGGTGGCAGCTCCCAGCCGCCGGGTCCCGACAGGCACGCAGGTTTATCAAACGCCAACCCCCGGCAGCCGGGTTCGTCACACAGACCCTGCCCAGGCAACAAGCGCCCGGGCGGCTCTGCACTCCCGGGAGCGCCGCGGCTCCAGCGCAGCCCTGCCCCGGGACTGCGCGCAGGAGCGGCCAGGGACCGCGTCCCCGGCCCGGCTCCGGCGAGGACGCCGAGGGCTGCGGGTCCCACGCCCGCCCGGCTCTTTGTTCCGTCCGGGCGGCGCAGGCCCCGGGCTCGGCGGCCCCTGCCCTCACCTTGTAGACGTCGCCGTAGGTGCCGCTGCCGATGCGCTGGATCAGCTCGAAGTCCTCCTGCGGGTTCCGGCGGGACAGGTCGAAGCCCGGGTTCATGGCGGGCCCCGGGTGCCCCCCGCCTCCCTCCCGGCCCGGGGAGGGGGGGCGCTCAGGGGGGCCGCACGGAGGGAGCGCCCGCGGCCGGCCCGGCTCCGCCGCCGGTCACAATCGCCCGGCTGCACGCCGCGGCCGCCGCCGACCACGACGAGCCGCCCGGCGTCCCCGCCCCCCGCCGCCGCGCCGAGCCGGGTCACACCCACCAGGAGAGGAGCGCGCCCGCAGCCCCTCGCTCGGGGTGCAGCTCCAACATGGCTTCCGCCCGCCGCTCCGCCCGCCCGCCCTCCTCCCGTTCCCGGCCCGCGCGCCACTGCGCAGCCGCCATCCCGTTGGCCGCGCGCTCCCGGCGGGCTCCGCGCGCTCCCGGTCTGTGCGCCCGTCGGGACGCGCGGGACGCGCCAGGCTCCCGGCAGCAAACTTAGACGCGCTGCCTGGGGTCCCGGCCCTGAGCAGGTAGAACTGTGAATGTGCAAGAGGGTTAGCCTCGACTCCTTAGGAGCAGGTGCCACCGGGAGCCCCCGACCCTTCCTCCTAGGTTTTGGGGGAGGAGGTCCCCATCAGAAAGGTGAGGAAGGCCCTCGAGGGCAGTGACACTTGGCCTCTTGGGGTTGGCTTGACCCGGGTGCGGAGAGGACCGGGGGAGGTCGGGGTGGGAGTCCGTGGAGGGCGTGGGCGGGAAGCAGTGCAGAACTAAGCCGCGGTTGACCTCTGTCCAGGGAGAGGGCTGGGTTATGGAGGCCGGGGGCGGAGGCTGTGCAAGCCTCCTGGCAGCCCAGAGAGGGGTAGGTTGCGGAGGGTGTGCCCTGGCCTGGCTCTAGTCCCACACCTGAAATGTAAACACGTGACCATCCCGAAATTCCACAGCTTCGACCTTAGCGCTCCACCCAGTTTAAGATCCGGACGTAAGCCGGCTTTAGGTCCAGACATTGAGGACCGCGTCGGCTGGAAGTTATCTGAGAAGGGACGTAGGCAATGGAAGGGGCGTGTTGGGTTCCTAAACTTAACAAGTATGTGTTTCCAAAAGCTGGTGTTTGGAAAACTCCGGCGGTCCGTTGGATTTTTGCTTCAAAAATACTTTCTTAATGTCCTTACGCACTACACCTAAGAACTAATGTTCTCTAATGTCTAATGTTTTGGTTTTTTTGTTGTTGTTTGTTTGTTTTTTCAGAAACTGGGTCTCATCAAGACTGTTAAGGAAAAGTTGGACAGAACTACTTAGAGTTAACGGCCTTATGTTTTTAAAACTTTTTTTTATCATGTTGCTTACACTAAATTACATATTTACTAAATTCTCAAATCCTTTTACTCCAAACCAGGTGTGGTGGCACATGCTTGCCAACCAAACATTCGAGAACCTGAGGCAGGGGCATCACTGCAAGTGCAACAGCAGTCTCGACGACAGAATTGGGGTGGGTGTGTTTACTCGTGTGTCTGATTGACTAAAAGATGTTGGGAAATGGTCTTCTCTGTACCACATAAACAGGCTTGCAATTGTATGGTGTATAGTTACCCTAAAGCATCAGGTTAATGTCACAGCGTTACTTACATTTCTGCCCCGGGAGGGCACATCGCGGAATTAATTTAGGCTAAACCTTAAGGCTACGCTATCTTGAGCTACTCCCGACCATGCATCTTTTCCCCAGCTTCTTTCTGCCGGTTTGAAGGCACTAGCAGGGGCTGAGGAACAGGCCTGCCTTCTGCCTGTGCTGTGGGGTGGAGAACTGTTTGTCTTCTTTAGGCCAAACATGCAGATAATTAGTCCTGGATCCAGATAAGCAGATATAAGTATCCCAAATCGGAACCAGCTCTGCTTGCTTTCTCTGCCCTTTAAAAAGCCAAGTTTACAGGACTGAATCGCTTTCACCAGAAAGTTCTAATGGTTTCACTGTTTTGTTTGCTGGGATTATCATCTCTGCAGATAACCCAGTGTTTGCATCACTAATAGACTTATTTCAAAGGGAAAAGACATTTCAGCAGGGTTGGAACAGACTTCCACATTTTTTGTTTGTTTGTTTGTTTGTTTGTTTGTTCCATTTTGGCAGGAACTAACTACTTCCTTTTCAGAGAGACAGATTTTCATGTAAGGGCCTGATTTGCCTTATGGGTTTAGGCCATAAATAAAAAGGTCTTTTGTAATTATCTGTTCACAAGGAATGAAAATACTTTGTTCCTTTTTGGGCTCTAACCATACTGATAAATACGATGCTTTCTGCCCCTTCTCCCTCCCTCTAACGAGCCTCTACTTTGCTACAAGTAACCCTGATCAGACTCTTGCTTTGAGTAAGGGGTGGTTAGAAGCACCCTCAGAAATCATCTGGGTTTCACTCTTAGATTGACTGTTGCTTGACTACTTCCTGTGAAAGGAGACTCACTGCTGTGCAACAGACCTTATCATTAGATAAATACAGCTAGTGAAAGTTTCTCCATCATAACAAGGAGAAAATAGTATCTTCCAGTACCAAGTGCCTACAAGAATCCTAATGAGTACAATAATGATGTGAGTGTTAAGGCATTCTGAATAGATTTAAAGCCTGCTCTACAGTAACAAACACATACCTTAGCACTCTATGTCCCAGTATCCATAGCTGGGAAGCTCTTAGGCCCCAGGGGTGAGCCTACTACTATTATTTTGCTAAGTAGAAATAGTGCCAAATTGCCCTGTAAATTCCTATCTCCTGTCTCATAGATTGGTGAAGCTCTCAGACTCATCAGGGAAGTTTCTTTGTGGTATGGTCCATGGTTAACACAAATTTACAGCTGTCCAAAGTGCAGAGTCTGAGTGTTGACGGCATGCTCAGAAGAGAGAAAGAAAGTTGATAAATCCAGAGCCTGGGGAGTACCAGAGCAAAACAATGTCTTCCAGACACGACAGGACCACTGCTGTCCTAAACTGATGGCATCTGTAATTGCCTGTACAGGACCAGCAGAAAAACGAGATGCTTTGGCATGAGGGGCCATCCCCAGCTGAAGAGCTATTGACATGTGATGCTTCTAGGGGAGAAGTTTTTCTTAAAGTTATGGACCCTAGTGGTAGGTAAACTGTGCTCCATTGTGTTCCACACTAGTGGATGAGTATATGGCAGCACAGATTGGCCTGGATGGGTTACTAAGGAAAAAAGAGGACATGAAGTTGGTAGGTAAGGGAATGTTATCAGGTGTGAGTTGGGAATGACATTTCTGCATGTATTGGAATTCTCAAAAAATTAATAGAATTTTTATGTGGATGGGCATTTTGCCTGCACGTTTGTCTGTGCACCAAGAAGGTCAGAAGAGGGTATCAGATCCCCTAGGACTGAAGTTACAGATGGTTGTGAGCCAACTTGTGGGTACTAGGATTGAATTTGGGTCCTTTGGAAGATCAGCCAGTCCTTTTAACTGCTGAACTGTTATCCTCTAGTCCATAAAATACTCTTTAAAATGACCTACAAAATTAAAAGAAATAGTGACAGCAGGATTTGGGTCCATAACCTCAGTACTCAGGAGGCAGAAGCAGAAAGATCTCCGGAGTGTGGTAAGGCTGAGCTATATAACAAGACAGGTCTCAAAAGTAAATGATGAATGGATAAATGGATGAACAAACGAATGGATAAATGAAGGAAGGAAGAAATGGTAAAGATGACAGCCATGAGAATAGGGTTAGAGATGTGATTTAGGAAACTATTAACATATATCAGGGACCCAGAGTACTGAGACCAGAGAGACATCAGAGAACCTGAGAGACTTGGAAGCTAGAACTCATAGGCCTGAGGAAAGGCGAGATCAGGCAGAGCTTGGGTGGAATGCAGGCTTCTGGCTTGGCCAGTGAGGAAGGGTGGTATTGGCAACTGCCAAGAGTGTTGGAACTGGTGTTGTCTGGGGGAGAGTTCTAGCGCCAGCTCAAAGTGGACAGTTGTGTTCTGTATCTCTTGAGTTGGGGTGCTAACTTGGAAATGATGAGTGAAAAATATGTGGGTCTGATACCTAGAAAAGATCAATGAGCAGTGAGTCATTGAGAGATGTGACTGGACATGGCCCCTGTACTAAGTAGGGAATGTGGACGCATTCTCACCTTTCAGTGAGACACCTGCCAGGGACAGAGCCAGAGGAGGTACTAGATGCCTCTTGGGAATAACACGGTTCCTTTTCAAACCAATACACTTTAAATGTTTCCTTAAGGCATCATGCTTAGCACTTACTTACAGGGGCTTGAGTGTGGCTCATGACAGAACACTTGCTTAGTATGCATGCAGCTCTGTGTTCTGTCTATAACATCAACAACATTATTAGTCTGGGTGTGGTGGCTCATTCTTGCAATCCCAACACTTGGGAAGGCTGAAGCAGAAAAATCACCCACAAATTTGAACCCAACTTGAGCTGCATGATTTTAGGACGGCCCAGGGAATTGAGTGAGAACCTATCTTAAAGCAAAACAATAACAACAACGACAAAATTACTTAAAAAACATTTATTTGCAGAAGAGGCAGACCTCTGCCTAAGTGTGGGTGGTGCTAGGAGTCTTGCTGTGCTGTTTCTCAGCCTTTGCTGTGTTGTTCTAAGCAATCCAGCTCCCGGATTTACATATCTCCTAACTCAGTGGGCCTCAAGGAAGGTTTTGTTGGTGTTTGGGGCGGAGCAGTTTCCTTGTGTGGGATGGTCCTGTGTATTCTACCAGTCTGCATCCCACAGTCTGTGCTGCACCCAGGCCTGCTGACATCACACACAAACCTATTTCCAAAGCCTCGGGTTTGGCTGGGGAGTGCATGTATCTGCATCGAAAATGTTTCTCTCTTGTTTCTCTTGGGAGAATTATCACCCACACCAAAACACCTAGCAGAGTTTTCTATCTCATATCATACACTCCCGAGAAAAGTTCTGACAGGTAAGATAGTGTCCCGTATTATATTTCAAATATTTACTGCCCAGGTAATGTTTCTGTGGTATCTGTAAGTTTACACCCAAGATTCACCTGCCCGTTATCACATGGTTCTGGGGTCACCTAGGAGACCACCAGTTCTGTCTTTGCAAGCTACAGAAATCTTCAGCGAGGGAGGAGTATCTAAGCCAGCACTTGGACGAGGGAACCAGCCACCTGCATATGTTTTGTTATCTGGCTTCTTATCTTGAACAATGATCACTTCTTCCACTGTCTGCCGTGGCCTCGTCAGAGCCAGCGCTGCCTGGTTGTGATTTTCCACCCCCATGCGCTGAGCTACATAAACAATTTCCTTTAGAAAGCCTTCCTGTATTTTGTTACCATATTGGAAAACTAATGGAGAAACTA